AAAAAAAAAAAAAAAAAAGACCAGAATTCATCAGTACTATTCTGCAGACTTTCATCTTCCCAACATCTCTAGACTCCCCTCTTGAGCTCCTGCTACATGTTTTGCATTTTTATTCACTTTCTTCACAGCAATTCTTTCTCTTCATATAATCTCCTTTTCTCTGTTATTAATTCTGTCATTTTTTTCTTTTCTTTTTTCTTTTTTCTTTTTTTTCGGAACCAGGGATTGAATTCAGGCCCTTGTGCTTGCCAGGGAAGCACTTATTCCACTGAGCGATCTACCCGGCCCCTGTCATTTTTTTTTTTTTCAAACTGCCTTTTAGTCACTAGTTTTCTTTTTGGGGTATATTCTTTACCATTTCTAGAACTTTTTATTTAGGAGTTGCCATTTCCAGTGCTGGTGAGACAGCTCAGTGGAGTAAGTGCCTGCTTAGGCAAGTGCAAGGACCAGGATTAGATCCCTGACGCCACATGCAGCACCGGCCCCACCCCAGACACACTAAGTGGATGACTGAGTCTGGCTATAGTGGAGCATGCCTGTAATCCTGGCCCTGGGGAGGCTGAGACAGGAGGATCACTGTGAGTCTGAGCTATGTGGTGAGACTGCACAAAATACAAAAAAAAAAGAATTGCCATTTCCTCCAGTGTTTTATTCTTCTGATTTTATTTTATTTCTATACTTGCTTTACTAATCATTTTGAATAAATTATTTTTATTAAATATTTTTAGTATCTTATTTTGTTCAGGTGTAATTCTCTTGCTTTACTTCGTATACTTACCTTCAAGTATATGATCATCTTCCGTAGAAATTATGTATGAACAGGTTGTATAAATTAAAAGGGAATATTTCAAGAAAGTAATATTGTGCTTCACTGCTCTCTTAAAATAAGCTTTTATATTAATTTTATTTTTGCATATATAGTAAGCAAATGTACAAGCAGTCTTCACCTGTATGCATAGTGTAGGCCTAGAACTTAAATTTCTTATATGACCTTTACTTTTTTTTTTTCTATTTGATATTGCACTTCCCTGAGTGGGTGTGTAGAATTTATCTTCCAGGTCTAGAACTTGCTTTTGAATGACTGAATCTTCTGTTCCAATATTAGTAATATATCTATACCTATCTATAGCTGTACCTATACACATTTATCTAGGAAAATATGTAGTTGACCTTGAAAAACTTACAGTACAGTTTGACTCACTTCATGTAAGACAAATGAAAAGAATATAATTTTTTATTTAAAAAAAACACTGGACAGATCCATAAAGAACCAGCTACTATCTGTGTAAGGCCTGAAGGATGTGGGAGGCTAGGGGGCAGGACAATAAGACTTGTCAATAATTGTATTTGCTTTTACTTTAAAAAGTACTGGATAACAGCAATTAACCACTAGGAAGAATGTATACAATGTGTTAATTGTTGAAACTGTCCTACCAGTTTGGTTTGAAACTGTCTCATTGCTATTTGTTTCTCAATAAATTTATGGAAAAAGGTACTAGATATATTACTATTAAAAAAATAAAATAGCAATTTATTGGATAAGTGTTATGGTTTGTGTCTAGGTATTCCCCTGCCACCAAAGCCTCGTGCAGTCATGGGGCAGCTTTTAGAGTTTGTGATTAATTCATGATCCAATGCTGGGATTATCCCTGTGAGGGCCACACCCACCTGGGGTGGGTAGCCTGCATACAGGAGGGAGAGAGGCTTGCTAGCTGCTGCAGCCACTGCCCCGCCTCTGCTCTTTGATGTTTTCCACTGCCGTGAGCTGCTGCCCTTTTCCATGTGCCATTCTGCCTTACAGCCAGCTGAGTTTAGACTGAAACCTCCACTAGCTGTGAGCTAAATAAACCTGCCTTTCCTTAACTTTGGGTGCCAGATATTTTGTCCCAGCAATGGGAGAAAAGTAACTGAAACAATAAGACATAGAATAAGTCTCTTAGTATTGTGTTTCTTTTGCTCCTTTGTTACTCTTAGCTACAATTCATTATTTAAATGTATTTTCTAAAATTAGTTATATGTATATTTTGACAGAGACTCTCTTTGACCAAACTAAATACCTGTTCTATCCCTGTTTTTAGTGTTCTATCTTCTGACAAGTTTTATCAAAATTTCTACCTAACCAAATTTAGAAAGAATATCCCACCTTTAGTATTTAACCACCCTGGTCTTCCTTAAGCAAGAACTCCTTAAGTCAGTTTTGCAAGAGCCCCCTCAATTCTTTTTTTTTTTTTATGTATTTGTACAGTGTATACAGGGTGTTACTATGTAGATCAGACTTGTAGTGATTCTGTTTTCAGCCTCTCAAGCTCTGGGATTACAGGCACATGCCACCACACCCAGTCTCAATTGCTGTCTCATTGTGCCCTGGGGATAGGGCCCCCTCAATTCTTGATGTTTCTTCTTAGTAATTTGTCATCCATCGACCTCATCCTATTCCATGGATATAAATCCCACTTGTCCTTGGTATATTGGATTTTAGCCAATCTCTCTATTATTGTGATGGTCTTGGTACCTATCACAATAGTTTTGAATAGTCTTCCTTGTTGTGTTCACAAGTGTCACAAGTATTTTTTTTCTATAACAGTTATGGTGCTTTGACATGGATAGGACCAATTTCACCATAGATCCCTGGATCTCTCAACCAAAGCCCCCAAGCACACACCTTTGAAATCTTAAATCTTCTTGCCTGACTGAGTGATCAGGTGTTTATTGGTGAGTCTGACTCACAAGCCGTTGCTCCAGAAGAGCAGTGAGAATAGAAGCTGAGCCTTAAAATTCTGAGTAAAGCTCTAAAGCTATCTTAGAGTATCAGGCCTCTTTGTCTGAAAGGTAACTCTTGGGTTGGAAATATCTTCCTGTTACATTTCTTCAAGTTGGAATTAATTCCCTGAGTGCTAGACTGGAAGTTATTTCTTCAGGCTTTTTGTTTTGAGGGGAGTTTCTCTTCTTGAGTCTTATGCTGGCAACTTTTTCCGAGCGATTATGAAGTCTGTGTATATCTTATCCTACATTTCCCATGGGAATTTCTCAGTGCATTAGTCCCCTCTCCCCTTAAAATCCTGGTGACTTTATGCTCCACCAATTTTGTCCGGTTCCTTTCCTGCTGGCATGGTTTTACTAAGGATAATTTTGAAATCAGGGGCCTTTTTGTGAAACTTTAGAGTTCCCTAAGAGGATCCTCTAAGCTTCTCCCCTTTTCATTATTAATAACTGTAATTTTACTCATGATTGAATAAATCTGGAACTATCATAATTTATTTGTACATAGTCAGGAGGCAATGAATTAAAATGCTTACAAGCTTGGAATTGAGAATTAGATTTCTTAAATTTAAATCCAGGTTTCAAAATTTACTATGAGACACGAAATAATCTACTTAACCTCTTCATGTCTTACTTGTAACCTCTGTATAACAGAAAAACAGTCACGGTGACTGCAGATATGGTGGCATGTTCCATATAGTCTAAATGTCTAAATGCATGTATAGTAAATTACACCATCCAGGTGTGCCTAGGTATACACTGTGATTTCACACAATGACGTAAGTGCCTGATACCTTTCTCATAATACACCTCCATTGCTAAGTGACCATAACCAAAAATAATACTGCACACTGTATAGTATAGTTGAGAAAATTAGGTCAGAGAGTATATTTAAAGAAATGAAAAATGGGAACTTTTGCGTGATAAAATATGTGAACTATATTCAAAATAAGTCAGTAGGAAGAGAGCTATGAGGTGTTTCCTCTATATTTATCTCAGATATGTTTTCCACTCTAGAAATTCCTACAAACAGCACTCATAAGTACAATGTTAGAATCATTTTCTTTAAATAACAGAACTCCAAGAAAATAACTTAGAAGATAAGAAAACCTTATTACTATTATTTTCTCTGCTTATTGTGGGCTTTCTTTTTTCCAGACCTGGGATGTAGCTCTATCACGAACTGCAAGAGCATGGGGAAAGAAATGTGTGTTTGAACGTAATATTCACTTGGAAGAGGTACAAATGGCCCATCCTACATTTAATCCTGTCGGTGAAAATATGTGGGTTGGCCCTGAAAGTGAATTTAATGCAAGTATTGTCATCAGAAGTTGGTATGAAGAAAGGAAAAAGTATACTTTTGACAATGACAGTTGCTCTGCAGACTGTTCTCATTATATTCAGGTATCTAATTTTTATGTTTTTATGAATTTTACAGACTTAACTGCTTTCTGGTTTTATGTTTCATATTTATAAGTAAATTCAAGCGGTAAAATTATTGCTTGTAATGAAGTCAAAATTCTAGTCAGCCCACTATCTTCAAAAGACCCATAATTCCATCATGTAAACCATATCAACAAAGCCTTCCTTTAGATGTAGAGTCTTGGTTACTTTTCTCATTGCTTAGACAAGAAGCATCCAGTGCCCAAAGCTAAAGAAGGAGAGGTTTACCTGACTTACACCTTGTAGAGGGCTCAGTCCATAGTTGGCTGGCTGCAAGGGCAGGCAGTACAGCAGGGGGCTGTCACAGAGGACAACCAGCAGTGTATGGAGTAGAAGGGGAGAGACAGAAAGACAAGCCAGGGAAGTAGCAGAAGCTGCACAGCAGAAGCAGCCTAGAATGTTCAATCCAAGCTGTGAGCCTATTGGTTAGCACCACTTGCACCCAGGGTGGGGTGGGGCACCCTTAATCACAGCATCATGCATCCTGGATCCAACCTGAAAATTCCCAGGAGCATACATACAGCATGTCCAGAGATGAAAGATACTTTTCTAAAAAATAACACATACGGGGGCTGGTGAGATGGCTCAGTGGTCTAAAGCACCTACTTAGAACAAGCTTAACAAAGCAAAGGGACCACGGTTCAATCCCCAGCACCACATGCCAGCCAGCCTGCCCCCTGGTGGGCTGAGCTGGCCACACACACACACACACACACACACACATAAATAAAAAATAAATGTTGCTTCCCACTC